TGCTGATTATGCATTAATAGTTGTTGTTAAGTGCTGAATTATATTGTTATATGCTGATTTGTACAATTATGTGCTGATTTGTATTGTTATATGTTGATTTGTTATTGAAATGATACTAGACATGTCACAAAAGAAGCCTAGGATTAGTTGGAAGGTAGAAGCTATTGAAAAAGCTTTTTTGGAAGCATGTTTGGAAGAAATTACAGTTAATGGTAGGGAAGGGGGTAGTTTGAAAGCACTCTCTTGGAGGATTGTAGCAGGAAAATTAGCAAAAGAACATAATTTCTTTGTGGACCAAAAGCAAATGAAGAATCGCTACGATTACTTAAAGTCAAAGTTTTCAACTTGGTTGAAGTTAAAAAACAAAACCGGGAATGTTTATAATCCCGTAACCAACACCTTCAATCTTTCAGAAGAAGAATGGCAACTAGAAATGAAGGTATTTTGCATTTTTATAATAAAAAATTATTATTAGGCTTTAATAATCTAATATAATAATTTTCAAGCAGTCGAACAAACATGTTGAAAGTTTGAGAAGAGCGTCACTACCCTTCCCCGACCTTTGTACACAATTGTTTGAAGGCGCGACTGCGACAGGCATTCATAGTTGGGGACCAACTTCTACCTTTCCCCGTCCTACTCAAGAGTCAAGCCACTATAGTTTGCATGAATTTGATGACATCGATTGCACTCAACAAGAAACTGTAAGTCTCAGTGACGAGTCATCCGCTCAATCAAAAAAACAAAAGACTACAGATACGACAAAGAGTCAAAATAAAAGTAAAGATAAGGGTAAAGATGCATCGAATTCGAGATTGCTTGAAATCGGGGAAGATATTGCCATAGTTGCTAAAATATTTGTGGAAAAACATACTTCTTCAAATTTGGATGCGTGTATGGAAAAGTTGGAGAAGTTAGGATGGGGAATATTTGATCCAAGATACACTACTACTGTTGCTCTTTTTGGTGAAGGTGTGGATAAGAGGCACGTGTGGTTAACCATTGATCCAGCTATTTGTGAGAATTGGGTCAAGACTGTTGGAGCACATTATGGAATGTTTCGCTAAGTAGATTTTTTTGAATGTTTTGATGTTTTTTTTTTGGATAACTAGATGCTTGGTTTGAACTAGATGGTTTTTTTTTGGATTACTTGATGTTTGGTTTGAACTAGATGGTTTTTTTGGATTACTTGATGTTTGGTTTGAACTAGATGGTTTTTTTGGATTACTTAACATGAATGACTTGATGTTTTGGATTACTTGATGTTTTGGATTACTTTATGTTATATGTTGTTAATATAATTGTTGTGTATTTTCAAAATAACAGATTGCTTATGGATTCGGATGAAGAAATTGCATTTTTCATGTTACTATGTTGCTATTGGTTGAATCTAGCATCCAACAGAATTGGAAGGGCAATTGATAATGATTCGGAAATGAGCGGTCATCAACATACACAAGAATTGTTACATGGAACTTCTACACAATGTCATAAGCTGATGCGTCTTTCACGTGAAGCATATGTACTTTTATGCAATCATTTTAGACGAAACAATTGGTTGCAAAGTAGTAGGCATATAAGCGTTGAAGAAAAGATGACTATGTTCTTGACAACTATAGCACATAATAAACGGTTCAGGATTATCAAACGAATGTTTCAACACTCCACAGAAACAGTTCATAGATGCTTTCATGAGGTGCTAAATGCAATGATGATTTTTGCAAAAGAAGTTATAGTGCCAACGAATTCTAATGCAACCGTGAATTCCTCAGAGAGGCATCGTAAGCTAAAAGAAATCTTTCCTGGAGCAATAGGTGCATTAGATGGAACTCTTGTACATGCAGTCGTGCCTGCTGATCAACAAACTCGCTATAGGGGAAGAGGAAAAGGTGAATGCTTTCAAAATGTTTTAGGAATTTGTGATTTTGATATGATATTCACATTCATATGGGCCGGTTGGGAGGGTATAACACATGATTCACGAGTTTTGAAAGAATTTGCATGTAACCCGACTTCAGGCTTTCCGTTCCCTCCTCCAGGTTTTTAATTCTTTTTAAATTTATTCTAAAATACAATATTAAATTTCTATATATAATACTTCCTTCACTCATGTGTATAGATAAATATTACCTTTGCGATGTTGCATACACCAACACTCGTGGATTTATGACTCCTTACCGCAACACGAGGTATTAATTAGCCGATTATCGACGGCGACGTGCGTTAACTAAGGAAGAAAAATTCAATCATGCGCATGCACAACTCAGAAATGTTATTGAACGTGCTTATGGTGTTTTGAAGGCGAGATTCCCAATCCTAAAGCGAATGGCTCCTTTTCCTTTTTCAGTGCAAAGAGATATAGTCGTTGCTTGTTTTGCAGTCCACAATTTCATAAGGAAATGCGATATTCATGATGAGTTATTTATGGCGTTCGAGGAGAACAATGCTCAAGCACAAGGGGGAGAGAATGATGGCGAAAACGTACACGATATGGAATGGGGTTCACAAGGAAATGAATACATGAATAATTTGTGTGACCAGATTGCGAATCAATTGGGGTGAAATTAAATTTGTAGGATTTTATTTGGATTTTAGTATGATTTTGTGGATTTAAAAATATTTATGTTTGATTTGGATTTGTGTTTAATTTTGATTTATGCTACATTTGGATTTTATATGGTGTTTATATTTTTTTAATACATATTTAAGAAATTGATTAGGTTATTTTCTAAATAAACAGTTGAATTTAATAAAAAATAAAACAGAAGGGTAAAATGGTCATTTTAATAATTCAGCACAACAATTCAGAGGTCCCAACCAAACAACATGTTAAACATTCAGCTCTTAAAATTTCAGACCCTCTTAGAAATTCAGACCTCTTAAAATTTCAGATCTTAAAAATTCAGATCCTGCCAAACAGCCCCTAAACAAACTTAATATTTATGAAACTCAAATAACAATGTGACAATGTGTAACAAATCTAAAACACAAACAAAATCAATAAAAAAATATTAAAGTAAAAGGATATCAACCAACTATTGTTTAAATATTAACAAATGAATATCAACCAATTATTGTAAAAATATTAAAAAACAAATATTAAACAAAGTGGATTAAATAAATATCAAGAAACTATTTTAAAAATAAAAGCGAAATTAGTAAAAACAAACCAAGTTGTAAACAAATGGCTCTTTAAAGAATTTAAAGGTGTGAATATAAAGCACCCTTGTAGACATCACTAAAAAAAATATTGAAAACCGAGAGGACCGACAAATCTGATGGTGAAGAAAGATAGTATCAACCGTCGTGGAGTAGAAAGTAGAGCCAGACGATTGAAGAGAAGTCGGCATTTGAAGAAAGCACAAATTTAGAACAATTTAAGCGCATTATTTAGGTCGAAGTGTCAATTAAAAAGGTAAATTTTATGTTTGATTTATGTGTATAAAAAATCACAAAAAATATTACATGTCTTATTTACTTTTTTGGCTTTTTATAATGAGAGAGAGAGAGAGAGAGAGAGAGAGAGAGAGAGAGAGAGAGAGAGAGAGAGAGAGAGAGAGAGAGAGAGAGAGAGAGAGAGAGAGAGAGAGAGAGAGAGAACTGTGGTTAGTCGTAGTTCCAACCATGGTCAACCATGAACACGCCACCCTTTGGTTGGTGTTGTCGTTGATGACGTTGATCGCCCCCGAATAACGTCTATACTCCATGTGTTCTTTATGAATATATATTTTTTATACACATAAATATATTTTTACTCATGATCTTTATGTCCATTTCTTTATGAATGTATGAACATGTTTTTATAAACTTGTAAGTAAAAATATATTACTTTTTAATGGGAATAATATTAACGAATGTTGTAGTAAACTCAAATACTAACATGTGGATATAAATATCGTCAAAATCCAAGACCGTATGAAGAAATTATAACATTCAATACACAAGAGCTAAGTCAAACTACAAGATCTAAACAACCAAGCAGCCGAAGCCACAATAGACATAAATATCAACAACCTCAAACACCTCATTAATGATTGTCCCTTGGATGACATGACAAAACCTAAAAAAATCAGTCGTAAGTACCGAATGTGTACAAAAACAACAATGACTTATTTTGTAACAAAAAAAATATTAAGGACTAAATGCGCAAAAAATATTAACGACTAAATGTGTAAAAAATATTAAAAACCAAATATGTACAAAGTGAAAAATATTTACCTTTTTAAGTAATTTAACCCGGCTTACCTGAAGTAGCTGGTTATAAGAATTGGATGTGTTACAAGTTGAAGAGGTAAATATGAACGGAAAAAAAATCAGTGAATAAATATGTGCAAATCGATAAACATATTATTATCCATTTTATAAACCTCTGTGTTGTGTGGGCCATATGTACAGTAATTTCCTAAGACTAAACAAATTTGGAAATTTATTTTATGATATGATATTTATTAAAAAAGGTAGTTATTTGTCATAAACATCCTTTTTTTTGGTTAGTGTGGTGAGTAGCCCAATTATTTACCTATCAACGTGACCAATATTAGGTTAAACGGTGTAGATTGTCATAAACATCTTTTTTTGGTTAGTGTGGACACCTAGTCTTTTTTAAAAATGATTAAAAAAAATGCAAAAACGTCACTATCAATGAGTTGGATGTGTGGTGCCATCGGCTCTACACCGTTCAGCCTTACTGTAACATTTTAGAAATTTGTGGTTATTGCATACGATCATGTGATATTCTTGTTATCCAAACTAATGACATAGTTTCAAATTTGTGTTTTATTTTAGGAACAATGAATAAGAAAAGGGACTTTTTAAACTTGTGAATAAGTGATTATTATCCATCAACTACAAAAACATAACATATTGTCCCAATAAAACACCATATTTTTAAAGATTTGTGGATAAGCTAGAAGTTATTTTCATAACAAAATTTGAATTGTAGGGCCAAAAAATTCATATATAAATCCAAAAAAATTCCACATAAAATCTCTAAACTCATACCCGACTCGTTTTAGTAATACCGATAAATGGACCAATCATTAAACACCGCCATTGGCCACCCACCACCACCATGTGAACGAACTCACCAAAACAAACACTCCCTCTTCTCTTTGTCGACAACCAAATTTCCTTATTCTGAACAAAAAGCTTCTATATATGAATCTTCAACAGTATACTCCTTCTTTTCATCTCACATAAACAAATTCAAAAAAAATGCAAACAAATTTCCCAAAAACCCCTCAACTCTTTTCCTTAATCCCAAAACACCACCACCAAGCTTTCTGTAAGATCGTTTCCTGTGCCAACAATTCTTCTTCTTCTTCTTCTTCTTCTTCAGAGAACAAGAATGGTTTCAAGCTTATGCGCCAGTCTTTTGGTGATATGAAATTGCGTCTAAATGACTTCGATCGCAGTGAGTAGTACTGACCATATCATTTATTCTTCATTTAAATTGAATAATTCTCTCTTTTAGTTGAAAAAAAAATCTTGTTTTCTTCGTGGGTTTTCGTTAAATTTATCTGTTATCAAGATTTCCGTTGTGGGTTTTCTTGAAATTAGTTATCTTGATGAGAATAAGTCGAGGGTAATTTCAGTCGTTTTAAAGTCAGTTAATTGTGCAATTAGTTATCGTTTTTCTTTATTTATGTTGTGAAAGGTTCGATGCAAGATGCTTTAAACATTTGGGTATCAAAAACAACGAACTTTTTTAGCGAAGTGGCATCTCCACTTGTGAAGAATGTTCAAGATAAAAACCCTACAAAAATGGGAAACGCATATGAGATCGATGACATGGAGGAATTCTTCATGGCGGAGCAGACTGTTGATAGCAGAACAGCCGGTGGTGATCTTTCTTTGGCTGCCATTGTTTCCATTGAGCAGTTTAGCAGGTGAGCATAAGCTTCTAAATTTCAAAAAATAGCAATGAACTTTCATTTATTTGTGTATTATAGCATTCTACTTTCATTGTACTTATGAAAATCTACCCAATTATATAAATGGGTTGATTTTTCATTGTATAAATCTGTAATAGGAAATGCTTTATAAATAAACCAAGAAAGTTTCTAGCTTTTTGAAGTTTAAGCTATGCAGGATGAATGGATTAACTGGGAAGAAAATGCAAAGAATCTTTAAAGCACTTGTCCCTCAATACGTGTCTAATGATGCACGTAATTTGGTTGAATATTGTTGCTTTAGATTCTTATCAAGAGATAGTTCGGAAATTCATCCTTGCCTTAAGGTTCGTGGGCCCAATTTACTTTATGATTTCTCAGTTTTTCTTTTCATAATTTGAGCTAAAAAGGGATATTGACTTTCATTGACTTTGTTGTTACAAATTACAATAGGATCCAGCATTCCAAAGACTTGTATATATAACCATGCTTGCATGGGAGCACCCGTACGCAAATAAGAAGGATTCTTGGAGTAATATTGGAGAGAAAGCTTCATTTCAGGTTCACTTTTCTGTACGTAATACTTCCCTTGTTTTTCACTAGTTGTCTTTTTATAATTGAGATACCTTTGGGAAATTAAAACTTAAGTAACTTGTTATTATTATTATTATTTTTATATTGAAGAGGAAGCTTGTAGGAGAAGAGGCTTTTGTCCGAATTGCCCCTGCTATTTCAGGCCTAGCAGATTGGGCAACAGTGCATAATCTTTTCAAGGCTCTTGCTGGTGATCAAAGAAGCATCTCATTTCATGCATTTTCCAAATATATCAATGAACTTCTCAAGTGAGCTTCTTGCTAATATTTTCATAATTTCATTCATTACTCATGATTTTCTATTAGTTTATTGTTCACCTTTTGATACGTAGAAAAACTTTTGGTTTGATTAAAGTAAGAAATAGCAACACACTTTTGTTTATATCTGTATTATAATTATAGCATCCTACTTTTGTTTCTTTCTATTACACATTGCACCTTCAATCTTTTCTCTTTGAAAAAAAAAAAAAAAAAAACTATCCAATTATAATATTGTACTTCAATTTTTTGATCTTATTAGCACATTATAAACAAATAATTTTCTTGATGTTTTGCAACTGATGATTGATTTTTTTTCTTAGAGTGTATGAAGGAAGGAAATCATATCTTCCAAAAGGAACTCCTCATATTTCAACAGAGAGAATCTTATGCCTTGGATCTAGCAGAAAGAGACCTGTTCTTAAATGGGAAAATAACATTGCATGGCCTGGAAAACTAACACTCACTGACAAAGCACTTTACTATGAGGTACATTTTGTGTTTTTTTACAAAAACTTAATCCTGATTCTTTTTTACTTAATCTTGTAAGCTATATATATGAGTCTTTCTTTTTAACTTAATGCAGAAAGAACCACTTAATAAGCCTTTCCCATTAAGTCCTAGCATTTTACAAAACTACCCTTGTTTATTTTTTCCATAACTTAATCTTGTAAGCTATATATGAATACGAGTTTCTTTTTTACTTAATACAGAAAGAACGACTTCATAGAGAAAGTCAAGAAAACGAGCCTTTCCTCATGAACTTTTAGTTTTTTACAAAATTGCTCTTATTTATGTTTTCCTTTGTAGGCAATTGGATTGAAAGGCCAAGGGGATGTTATTAGAATGGATCTTACAAGACCCGGGTCACGGGTCGAAAAAACACGGGTCGGCCCATTCGGGTCGGATCTTTTTGATTCTGCCATTTCTGTTACCTCTGGTCCCGAGTGAGTAAGCTTTCAAAAACTCATCTTTTTCACATATCAAGAATCTTTATCATCAACTCACTAAAATACATTCCCAAACTTATCAGATTAAAGCCATGGGTACTTGAATTTGTTGATTTGGGAGGTGAAATGAGGCGAGATGTATGGTATGCTTTTGTTAAAGAAGTCATTTCTTTATACCAATTCATAAGAGACTTTGGACCTAAAGAAGGTGATCAATCCATACACCATGTTTATGGTGCTCAAAAGGGCAATAAACGTGCCACATCTTATGCCATTAATGGCATTGCAAGACTCCAAGCTCTTCAATTTAGTAGAAAACTCTTAGATGAGCCTACAAAACTTGTCCTCTTTTCATATTTACAAAACGCACCCTTTGGAGAAATCGTTTGTCAAACTTTAGCAGTAAATTGTTGGGGTGGACAATTGACTTCAAGATTTACAAAGATTGAGTCATCTTCGAATGAAGGAGCTTATAGTAGTAGTCATGTGTTTGATATTGATGGAGGTGTTTATTTAAGGAAGTGGATGAGACATTCTTCATGGAGTTCTAGTAGTTCGGTTGCTTTTTGGAAGAATAGTTTGATGAAACATGCACTTGTTTTGAGTAAAAATCTTGTGGTTGCGGATAAAATGTTGGTTGAAAAAGCATCAACAATATTTCGGGAAAAATACGCGGAAGTTGAAAAGACACAAGCTACAATTGATGCTGCCATGATTGAAGGGATTCCTAGTAATATTGACCTTTTCAAGGTTAAAATTCATAAATATCTTTTAGCCTTTATTTAGACACCATTTGTTATGCAAGACAAGACATGACAAAACAGATTGTACTGTGTTTGGTGTGATTGGGACCAAGACTGAGACTGAGACTGATGTCAATGGGAAAAAGTTGACATTTTTGCCCCACCCGATACATATGAACTAAAGACAAGACTTGCTCTTCGACCTCACATCTATGCAAAAGACGTAAATGCCCTCCTTGTCCTCATCATCAAAAACATCCCTAAAAAGCTTGTCTAGTCCCGTGGTATTGTTTGTCCCATGTAACAAACGCAACCTTAGTCAAAATATTAAAATTCATAGCATCTTTGTAACATTTTTTATCATTTTCTTTTTATGCTTTAGGAGCTCATACTTCCTTTAACATTCATTGCAAAAAACTTTGGAAAACTTCGACGTTGGGAAGAACCACATTTGACCACATCTTTTCTTGCATTTTTATACGCACTCATCTTCAGGTAAAACCTATTAAATATTGTAGCATAAAGTATTTACATACATGGAATAAGTAAAGCTTTATACTTAGCTAAGTCTTTCTATAAGTTGATACTTACTTCCAAGGTATAATGCTATTTTGGGTTTCAGGAATTTGTTATCTTATGTGTTCCCAATGACATTGATAATTTTGGCATCAAGCATGTTAGTATTGAAGGGGTTGAAAGAGCAAGGGCGCCTTGGAAGAACATTTGGGATTGTTACTATACGTGATCAACCACCTTCTAACACCATTGAAAAAATCATAGCTGTTAAAGAAGCCATGCGTGATGTGGAAAAATATATGCAAAATATTAACGTTTCTCTTCTAAAAATTCGCACTATTCTTCTTGCAGGCCAACCACAGGTTAGTTATACACTTATACTTATACACTTCATCAATCTTTCCTTTTTTGGAAAGTGATACTTTTGTTCCATTGACATCAGTCTTGGTCCCAATTCAGGTTAGACACAGACAGACACAGACACAGTACAACCTGTTCTATCCTGCATAACTACAAAATGCGGACTATAAATAGTTTTTAAATTTTTTTTCAGATAACAATGGAAGTTGCCATGGTACTTTTGTTGGGTTCTGTGGTTCTCCTTACTATACCTTTCAAATATGTTCTTTCCTTTCTTGTACTTGATCTTTTCACACAAGAACTTGAGTTCAGGAAAGAAATGGTTATAAAGCTCAAAAGCTTTTTAAAAGCTCGTTGGGACACAGTGCCTGCTGCCCCTGTTTCAGTGTTGCCATTTGATGACAAAGATGCCAAAAGTCAAAACAAGGAAACAAATGACTTTCCAAAATTAGAAAGAACTCAGGATAAGCAGTAAAGTCAAAATCCATTTATCGTGTTGTAACTTTTACTCGATAATATTTGTACAGAGATTGTTTTCGTTCATAGAATTTAGGTAGCATGATTATACTGTACAGATGATCTCTTCAAGATATAATTCGGATTTGAATCACAATTGGCAAAAAAAACATGAAAAATAGCCATATGTAAGGCGTTGACTTTGACCTTGTTGACCCGTTACATACAAGTTTATTGTCATGATACGAGCATTGTTGTGTCTGATTCCTGCAATTAGTGGGAAAAAATAAAAAATAAAGTCAAAGTCCATAAAGAGTTCTTATCGAATTTTTTTGTTTGCATATTATAATAACTCGTCCCACATGATGAAACAATCACAAGTTCAAGTGGGGTTGTTTATACTTTATACAACGGATCCCTTATAAATCTTAACATATCAATTAAAAAAATGTTATAAAAACTATATCATGAAGTTTTGTATGGGCTTAATATTAAATATGGCATCTAAATGTTTAATATGCATCTTAAACTTGTCACTTCTAGTTTAGCAAGCTTTCATAACATAAGATATTTAGAAATTGAAATATAACTAATTAAATATCATAATTGTTATGCTCCAATAAAAATAGTGTAAGAATAAAAAGAATACGCCACTCTATTATTAGAATATTAATATGGTATAATGTTTTTGATGCGTTATTTAGTGTGGTTGGAATGGAAATAAAATTTGGTGATAATGTTTTTTTTTTTTTTTTTTTTTTTTTTGGTGTTATGGTAGTTAGAAAATAAGAATCAAACGTTATTCGCTAAATTTAAGTTGTGGGCCACAGTAGCTCGTGATTTTTAATTTTTACACATACCTTGGTGAACAAAATGAGACGACAAAATCGGTAGTAGAACATGTTATAATGCTGGTGGGATCATCATAAGCATAGCTATATGCCACCGGGCAAGCCGTTTTGAAAATCTTTGAGTAATTTGTTGGAACACACGTGACTGGATTTGAGTACATTCCTTTACAACAAAACTCATCGGAATCAAAAACATTACACGCACTCCGACATGCAACTGTTTTCCCATCTAACCGGAAAGTTAGCTCCGGTGGGCAGTTAACCCTAAGATCCGTATCACATCCAGCAATGCTACATTCCCCTTTCCCTTCAATCGGTGTAACCGTAAGTGGCAAGTTGAATCCATCTACAAGGCTAACATCGTAAAAAGCAGTGTCACCGAGGGTAAATTCGGCAATTGACGCGGGCGGGGTGCCCGGGCTGGTGCAGGTTAGTGTTGTACCGCATGATCCGGTTTGGCATGTGCCGTTGCCGTTTTTGTCGAAATTGCATCCTGTTCTGCCCCATATACGGCCGCCCCACCCTGGTGGGGCGGCGTAAATGGCGGTTTCGCCTGGTTTCAGGACGAAACCGCCACCGGGGAGGGTGGTGTTGGTGGCAGTTATACCCGGCCATATGGTTTCGTGACAGTTGTTGATGATTGTGAGGTTCATGCAATTTGACAAGTTTGCCCTTGATAAAAGGGTAAATAGGAGGATGATTTGAATGGAGGAGTGCATGATGGTTAATGAGTGTAGTTGGTTTGGTTGTGTGTGTGTGTGAAAGAGTGTGTGAGTGTGTGTTTTTATATTGGAAAAAGAAATGGGAAGAAAGAGTGTTAAGGAGTGATAGAATACTTACTCATCACATTATACCTTGCTTCCACCATTTTTGTATGTTCACATCTTCCTTGTGACACCAAGAGTGTTTTATGTACCATACTACAGAATCATATGTGCACTTTATTATTATTCAATATTTTACCATGTATCCTTATAATAACTTATCAAATAATATTTGAGACTTTTCTAACATAATAATAAATATTATTAACATCTTTCGACCACAAATAGTCAATAGTCAAATCCCCATTTTTATACATAAACTTTAAAGATTAGGTTTTTAAATCTTTGATTTCTTTTAAAAAACAACAATGTGTTTCGGTTATTAAATATATACATCTCATAGCATTAATTAAAAAAATTAGACCTTTTTAGGCAGAATTTCATATATGCCCTTACTAAACATGTAAATATCGTATTTGTCCGGTCTAAACTCTAAATATCGTATTTGTCATTCTTAATGTTTTTTAATATCATATATACCCCAATCTAATTTTTTTAATAATTTTTAACATTTAATAATCTTTTTTTATATTTTTAAATAATTAAAATTAAAATTAAAATAAATTGACCATAATGCCCTTTATTCTTAATTCCCTTCTCGGACACATCAATTGTATTTCTCCCCACCCCTAAATCCCAATACTTTATGCATCACTGTAGATCGCAAGTTTTCCCTGTGTTTACAAACATTCATCTTCTATTATTGAAGAATTCCCCATCTGGGTTTTCTCCAATTGCACGTAATTTCGATTAATTAGCTGGTTCATCATCTTTGCGTGTACACATACGTAACTATCTTCTTCTCGCTGTATCTTGATTCTTCCCTTTGAACATTCAATAACGATTGTTGGGTTGATAGAAAATGGCAAAAAGTGTGGCGTTGAATCGAGTGATTCGAAGCAAAGGGTTGATGAATCAATAACAAAAGAATAAGGAAAGGGGAATAAATTATGGAAGAAGATGAAGTATCAGCTGGTTGAATACCACTCGTTGCCTGCGTATATGAAAGTGAAGAAAAAACAGATGGATTCTTGTTTGTATGATGTTATTGACCGGTGGGAACTCCATTCCAGATTACAGAGGTTTGTGTGATGTTATTTACCAGTAACGTTGCAGTGGGAGGGGGCTTGTATGGGTTATGACATGAACAAGCTTTTATAACTATAGAATTTATGCAGCGTGAGATGAGGTTGAGGTTTTCTGCATCTGAAAGAACTTCTTCACAGCTTTTAAGAGCATCTATGGTGTCTGATCAGGTAGTGAACACTTATTGTAGGAAGGTCTTTGTTTATGTGATTAGGTTTTCATCTCCATAATCATCTGTTATGAGGAGGTAGTCTGAAGCACATCGAAGGCTGATAACATTCTAGGAAATGAGTTCTAGCTTTATACTATAACAAAATTTGGCTATAAGTTCAAATGCTTTACATCCACCAGGTATGTGATGTGCTGCGATGGGAGGTATTAACAGGAACGAAAACTAAAGATAGGGAAGTAGGCATCGATTGTAAGTAATTTTAACATGTGTTGTATTGGAATTTAGAACTAAGGGCATTATTGTCCATTTATAATGTTTTTTTAATTATAATGATTTAAGAATGAAAAAGAATTATAAACCAATAAAAATTATTAAAAAATAGATTTGGGTATATATGATAGACAAAATTGCAAAAATGGTCCTGTGGTTGGCAAATTTCTGCAGTTTTGGTCCAAAACGATACCTTGGTGCACCACTGGTCCAATTTTGGATCTTTTTATTGTTTTTGGTCCCTACACACTTAAAAAGACAATTATGCCCTTCCAATTTATATTTTTCATTTTCTTTAATTTCAGAAATACATAAATTAATTTAATTTATATTTTTCATTTATATTTCATTTGTCATTTCTCTCTTAACAAAAAAAGAAACACACACAATAAAAAGATCGAGTTCTTGAAGGTGGTTGAGTTGACTGTATTTGACTGGGATTCGACCAGAAAACGAGTTGTTATTCAGATACAAAATGATTGGCAAATCTTGTAGATCTGGTAAATCACCAGAAAACCCATTTTTGCTCAAGCTTAAACTGGTCAAAGTTGATCAACCCCTTTAGGAAAACTACCATTCAAGAAATTCCCATCAAGATTCACACTTTGAAGACTCACCATTCTTGAAAAAGTTGGAGGAATTGAGCCATACAAGAAATTATAACTCAAATTAATGTATTCGAGTGTGTTTAATCGTTGAATTTTGTTAGGAAGTGGGCCCCAGATTCCTAAAGAAACCAAACTAAGAACTTTCAACCACCAACAGCTACTACCGTCCGCCACCATCACCACTGGTTGCCACCACCATCCTATACAAACAGCTAATCCCACCCTCACCCATCTTTCTTTCCTCATATTTCGATGAAATTTCCCCACCCAGCACCACCCTTCTGATTAGTGTTATCCCTACCCAAATACCACCACCTCCATCTTTTAATGATTAGGGTTTCAGCCGCCACCACCACCGCCATAGAAGATGACATCATCGTTATTCACCACCATCGTCGTTCTCAAAATCATCGTTCATCCTTAACCAGATAACCCTTCACTGCTGACCACCAAACCACCGTTCATCGATTTTTTCCCAAATGCCTCTCCATCCCAGAAGACCTGAAACATAATAAAATAGATGGTTTAAAAAAGACAACTTCGATTTGAAGGGTTTTATCACCTCTATCTTCTTCCTCGGGGTTGAATCTACAGATGAATAAGTTTAAAGAAAAGATCGGGTATGTCCGTCTCGTTTGTAGATCTGGAAATGAACATATGGAGCTACCGGAGAAGACGAAGGGGCAGTGGTAGAAGGGTCACGTCATTGGAATTCACATCTGGGTCGCAAGCCACCGTCACCGGAGTTTGCTAGGGGTGGGCGGTGTTGCACAAGTAAGGGGCGACAATGGTGGTGTAGGTGGTGGTTTTCGAGTATCGGTAGAATAGAGGGAGAGGGTAGACCAATTACAGATTTTGGTGTTGTTGAGAGAGAGAGAGAAGAGAAGAGAGAGAGAGTGTGTGTATGGTGGGGCATAGTGGGTGATAATTTATTTTTCATTTTCTTTTAAATAAAATAAATTAAAATGAATTATTTAAGGGCATATTGGTCATTTTATGTTGGGTGTGGATTAAAACCACACAAAAATGACAACTACAGGGACCAAAAGCACAGAAAGTATCCAAAATTGGACCAGTAATACACCATCAAACTTTTTTGGACCAAAGTCACATAATTTTGCCAACCATAGGGACCATTTTTGCAATTTTGTCTATATGATATTAAAAAACATTAAGAAGGACAAATATGATATTTAGAGTTTAGACCGGATAAATACGATATTTAGATGTTTAGTAAGGGCATATACAAAATTGTGCCTTTTCTTTTATTTACCCAAAACGTAAAAACTATCAAAAAGATCGTAAATGACCACATAAACAAATTATATTATTATTTTTAAATGAATCCCAATATATTAAAAGGATGAGTTTTTTTAAAGCAAATGAGCTCCAACATCTAGTTTTCCGCCTTTATTTCATTTGTTCACTTATTTGACAATTTGAGCTAGCAAAAGTGTTTAAATATGTATTTTCGTGTAAAATCCAATACTAACATTTAAACTTGATTATCTCATATATTTAGCTTTCTAAAACATGTATCAAAACGACTTGACAGGTATAGAATCGAGTCTAGTTGATATGTAACTTTTTTTTGTTTTATCACTTTTTAAGTTTTTTACTAACATTTAAACAGGAATCGATTTTAGAGATATTTGGTTGGTTAATGCTATGCCATTTTGAGGGAAAATAAGATTGTGATTACCATCAAAGGGTAGAATCGGCATCTATTCTTCAATAATTGGAAGATATGATGCTGATTATTAGTGAGGTCGTGCATCTTCTTCCGATTTGAGAAGATGATAGAGGGCAATTTGGGAAAAAAAAACTATCGGGAGGGAATGGAATAAAAAAAACGGGGGTACCCCAAGAAATGAAAACACGGTGATTTGAAATTTTGAATGAACGGAATTGCTTCAACGATGGGTCTTTCCATTCCATACCAAACATGCCCTTTTCCATTACCCTTCAATACCATATTCCATTCCTTAGTTATTTTTTAAGTTTAAGCCTTTTCCACTTTGGCGTCAGTTGAGTGGTGTTTTTCTGTCAAAAGCAAAACATGCAACCTTCAACCTAAAGTTCATATAATCATGCTGTTCAAAGGAAGTCTCGGAGAGTTTAAATGGTCACTAACTAAATGATTCACTTCTGCGGATGGGTCTAATTGGACCAACAAGATGGTCTTGAGCATGTGATATTATTGTTGGTGTTTGAGCCTGTATTCAACAATCATGAAAGCGAGGATTCAATCTGTCGTCGAGAATGGGAGCATTCTCTTTCAGCAAAATAGCAAGATAACCCAGTTTGGCAAAACGGGTAGGGTCGAAGAAGCCTGTAAATTGTTCAACGAAATGACTCATCGGAACACTGTGACATTCAACTCGATGATCTCTGTCTACGCGAAAAATAGAAGAATTAAAGATGCATTAAACCTATTCGATAAAATGCCTCGCCGCAATCTTGTTTCTTGGAACACGATGATTGCGGGTTGTTTGCACAATGACAGAGTCGAAAAGGCACGTCAGCTGTTTGATCAAATGCCTCAAAGAGACATTTTCACCTGGACTCTGATGATCACTTGCTATACTCGGAACGGGGAGCTTGAAAAGGCGAGAAATTTATTTAATTTAATGCCTGATAAGACGAACCCAGCTTGTTGGAATGCTATGATTTCAGGCTATGTAAATCATAGAAAACTTAAGGAAGCTAGACAACTGTTCGATGAAATGCCTGTGAAAGATTTAGTCTCTTGGAATTCAATGCTTGGAGGTTATACCCAGATTGGAGAAATGAGTATAGCTTCAAAGTTCTTCGAGCAAATCCCAGTCAAAGATGTAGTTTCCTGGAACTTAATGGTCGATGGGTTTTCTCAAATTGGTGATTTCGATTCTGCTTGGAGTTTCTTCAAGAGTACCCCGAATCCAAATATCATTTCTTGGGTCACAATCTTATCTGGGCTTGGTAGAAACGGTCAAATCATGGACGCCAGGAAACTGTTCGATGAAATGCCAGTCAAGAATACAGTCTCATGGAACGCCATGATTGCAGCTTACGTCCAAAACTCCCAAATCCATGAAGCTTTAACCCTATTCAACCAAATGCCAGAAAAAAACGCAGTATCATGGACCACCATGATCAATGGATATGTACGTATTGGTAACATAGACCAAGCCCGCCAACTGCTCGATCAAATGCCATACAAAAACACCGGAGCTCAAACTGCAATGATCTCAGGATTCGCCCAAAACAATAGAATCACCGAGGCCCGTGAAATCTTCAATCAAGTACACAATCGAGATACTGTTTGTTGGAACACGATGATTGTGGGTTATGTTCAAAACGGAATCATGGAGGAAGCACTCGATCTTTTCAAAAAGATGGTGAAAAAGGACGTGGTTTCTTGGAACACCATGATTGCAGGTTATGGTCAAGATAATCAAATGGATAAAGCCCTTGCGTTCTTCAACAAAACAGAACATAAGAACATAGTCACTTGGAATTCCTTAATTTCGGGTTTTACCCATAACGGGTTTTACATTGATGCATTCAAGTATTTTGGATTAATGTTACAAAATGGTTATAAACCAGATGAATCTACATACGCTTCAACTTTAAGCTCATCTGCAAATTTAGCATCTTTACAATTGGGGACACAAGTTCATCAGATAGTTTTGAAGACAGGTTATGAAGAAGACATATATGTGACAAACTCTTTGATTACTATGTACGCAAAATGTGGTCACATGTCAAGGGCAAAACGGATATTTTGTTATACCACACGGACAGATGTCGTCTCGTGGAATTCTTTAATCGATGGGTATGCTTTGAATGGATACGGGAAAGAGGCGGTGAAGATAATGGAGGCTATGGAGGTCGCCGGAGTTTTCCCGGATGAGGTCACATTCATCGGAGTTTTATCAGCGTGTGGCCATGGTGGTTTGGTGGATGAAGGGTTTAGGGTTTTTGAATCGATGGTTAAAAAGTACTCGATTGATCCGTTGCCGGAGCATTATGGTTGTATGGTGGACTTGCTTGGAAGAGCAGGGCGGCTGGAAACCGCCTTACGGATGGTGTTGGAGATGAAAATGGGTGGTAATGCGGGGGTGTGGGGTGCTTTGCTCGATGGTTGTCGTGCGGGGGGTGATTTGAACGTGGCGGAAGTTGTGGCGGAGAAGCTGACGGAGATTGAACCGGAGAAGGGTTCGGGTTTTGTGATGTTGTCGAATGCGAATGCAGCGGTAGGGCGGTGGGAGGTGGTGGAGAGAGTGAGGGAGAAGTTGAAAGAGAGAAGAGGATTGAAGCAACCGGGGTGTAGTTGGATTGAGGTTAGAAATCAAGTTCATGTTTTTGCGTCTGGTGAGGGGTTGAAGGGAGAAAATAGTAATTTTGGTGGCGACTTGAAGGCACTATTGGCTCATGTTAGTGACACAAATGAAACTATTTTTGATGCTACATAAATTAGACATAAGAAATGTGAGCATAAATATGGTATACGATTTACATATCTACATGACTACAAGAGAATGTTTAGTTATGCAAAGTCAATTAGATGTTGGAAATTTCTACAAGGATCATGAACCTTCAAGAAATATCAAGAAGATGATGGAAGGATAAAATGGTAAACGTTGTCTAGAAACTTTCTTGTAAATATTTAGAACATAATTTTCTAAAACAATTTCCATTTATTTGCTTGTCTACTATAAATAGATAGTTACTTGTAATTTGTTTGTATACATATCTTATCTTGAGTAGACAATGTAGTTCTCTCCTATATAAGCACTTGAAGAGTAATAGAGGGATTATAGTTCTCATTTAGTTCTTGAGTTGTTCATACTTGGTTTTACTTGCTTGCTTTGCCTTGTTTGACATAGAGGTTCGAGTTAGGTTGATTTGGAATGAGGACTAAGTGTTGTACAGTGAACTTGTAGAAACAAATTCATGACAAGCATAACAAGTGGTATTACAACGAGTTCGTTTAATGCTTAGGAGAAGGTTCAAGAACAAGAGGGGTTGGGGAAGTAGAAAAAGGAGATTCAAGACAACATAAGGTGCATCCTCAGGCTCCCAAGATATCCACGGACTATGAGAATCGATCACAGAGGAGTTCCGTTAATCCATAATGAGTTGGGTACGTGATCTATAGTGAGTAGGACATCGTGAGCTATAGTGAGTGAGATTATGGAATGTTAGTAGGAGAGCTTGCAAAGTTAAAGAAACAAATGGAGGGGTAGCTTATGCGCACAGAT